CAAGCATATTTTGATGGAAAAATGCCGTTAGCGGCATAACTGTCTTAAATATACTTCAACTCATATTTTTGCAATATGCGATAAATGTCCGGTAAAAATCTGTGTGACTGTTTGTCGCCATTTAAAAAGTGGAAAAGTCTTTTATTGAAAAATCCTTTTGCAAGGTATTTATTCGGCAGTCTACAAAGCTGACCTAAGAATTGTAGTTTTTTATGGTCAATTATTGTCTCAATAGAATTTGCACCAATCGACAATAGAGTGAGATCAGTTGAGGTACATGGATGGAATGATTGAATATTCTTAAGGCAAAATCTATGGGATTGTTCTAGGCGTTGAATGTCGGAACCAGTGAGAGTGGACCAAAGTTCGCATCCGTACAAAGACTTCGGAATGACGATGGAACTATAGATCACCATAGAAGAGATTGGGTTTAAGCAAATGGGACTGATTCCACTGTTCACAATGCTAAGATATGTCCCACGTAGTTTATTGCAAGAGTCCTCAACGATATCTTTCGTCGAGAGAAATGAGTCTGATTTAATGCCAAGATAAATATAATTGGTTACTTCGTTAATCACCTATTACCAAATTTGAAAGCCCTGTTATTGTCTATTTTAAAGTGCTCATTGAAAGAAATAATTCCACATTTAGACGCATTGTACTAATACCTCCATTTCTTGGAATATCTGTGGCAAATATCCAGCATAGTGTTAAGACCCGAAATTGAAAGAGACACCAAGGTCATATCATCTGCTACTGTTGGAGCACTTATGTTGTTATTGTACACACTTATGCCACAGTTGCTGTTTTCTAGTAAATTTATCAATTCATTTATATACAGTAAATATAGGATCGGGGAACTTTTTCCTCCCTGCCTTGTGCCACGAAGTACGGGGAACCAATCAGAATAAACGCCTTTATATCGAACACAACTGGTCATATTTTGATACATAGCACGAAAAGAAAGTTGTAGTGTCAATATTTTTATCAAATAGTAATTTATGAAATAAACCATCATGCCAGACAGTATCAAAAGCTTCACGCCCGTCTAAAAATGACACATATAATTTTGAGCCATACTCTCTAGCGTAAAATATACTTTCTCTTAAAATGAATGACGTCATTAAGCACGAGAGACCGTCCTGAAATCCACCTTGTTGAATATTGATGGTAGAGAGAATATCATCTTTTGATCGTGCAATAAGAACAAATTCATATGTTTTAAGACCTACTGGAACTAGGGTAATAGCCCGGTGATTGTCCGGATCGTCCTTTCTTTTATTACATCCTTTATGAAGAGTAATAATCACACCACGCTTGAGACTGTCTGGTACATGCGTTGAGCGTAACATTCTATAGTAAATATTTGCCAATGCAGGGGAAACAACACTTTTAGCGTACTTATAATGTTCAAGTAACGTTGTCATGCCCCGCAGCTTTACCTTTAGGAAACGAGCCTATGATTTCACTAATTAGTTCAGGCGTTACAACCGCAGACTTGTCGGGAACTAAATTAGGAAACGTATCATGTAGGCGTTGCGATATCTCTGTCTTAAAGACATTGTCATAGTCATTATCATCTATATTCGCATACATCTCTTTGAAGTAGCCATGCCAACCATGTGTTATTCTTACTTTGTCTCTGACCAACGTACCGTTGAATTTAATACCGGAATTGTATACCGGAATTCTGTCAATCTGTATGCAATAATTAACTATTTGCGAAGAGATTTGCAGTTTAACAGTCACATACATGTATATGCGCCTATTCACGGTTGAAAACGTCATATATGTAAATTATTTGCAAATGGGTTCAATCTGTGGGCCGTCTGGACACAAAACACTGTGTTTATGAATATCAGTTAAGCTACTTACAGCTTTCCTGTTTTTGTCTTATGCTGAAGAAAAATCATAAAGACATAAGATATAAACATCTTTGTAAGGACATTTTAAATTCCATCAATGTCTATACAAAATGAAGTGCATTTCCCACTAGCCGTTCAAAGCTTGCGTAAATAATCATGTAAGACGTAAAAACGCAAAAAAAAAATATGATAAACAAGATCAACAAGGAAAGGCGGCGTTTAATGAACGCAACCCCCATACGACACAGCAACAAGAACCAGTGGCAAGGAGCCCAGGCGGACCCAAAACAAAAACAGGACAGAGCAAACGACAGAGCACGGACAGGTTAATCACTTAATGATAATAATTTGTAACTGATAAGGAATTCAAAGAAAACAAAAAAATGATTGAATAATAGGCCCACAAAGTTAAAGGGCACAGGGGAATGGGACAGGAGAACGGGGGAAGGTGGGTGTTATCAAAGAAATCAAGTCGTCTTGACAAAACTTTCTGGCAAGACAACAAAATCTAGACGTATTGAATAAATATTTTTTTTAATAAAACGCCTTTTACTGTACGACTTAATGAAAACTTTTTGGCAGCTTTAATCACCACCTCTGTATGTTTACATAAAATACAAATAAACCTGTATGGTTCCTTTAATTTACTTTTTGTTAAAAATTTAATCTACTGCTATCTGATGTTTGACAATATTACCCTCCCTGTACAGGCTCAAACAAATTACTTCAAAAAAAGAAAATGGTTATGAATCAACATGAAATTTACTATCTATTCTATCTATTTAAAATGGATTTGAAAATATTTGCAAATCCAAATTCAAACCATTCAATTGTATGTGCACTTTTTGTTTGATTGAGATGTAGAAATTTGTTATAAATGAACAGTGAGTGTTACTTGAAGCTTCACACTTTAAAGGGACCATGATTTTGAAACATTTTTGTGCATTCAATGTGAAGTTTTTTATTCATTATTCCTTCAAAAGGTTTCAGATTTCATTCTTTATTATATTCAATGGTATTGTCAATAAGGCCAGATTGAGAAAATGGTGTGTTTCAGGTCTCGTGAGGTAAAGTTAATATATAAATACATATTTAAAAAAAATAAAAATGCTAATTTGAATTTACGGTAGCTTTCAGCATTTCGGTCTTCTTCAGCAGTATTTAATATACATACAATTAATTCAGAGAAAAAACGGGAAGTTACGTAAATCACGTAACGTCATTGTGCGTTTTTTTTAATTCAGAAGTTTAAAGAGCTTTGTTTGACTTTTATTTATCTATAATACATATAATTGTATTTTTCCTGTGATTTAGTTGATAAAATGATAAAAAGAAATGTACCAAGAAATGTACCAAAGTATATTTATAAATTGAATTAATCAAGTTGTTAAAATTTAAATACATGGCACGGGTGTGCAGCCTGATCTTGGTCTGCACTGGTGTAGGTTTAAAACTGAAACAGTCATTATAACAAATTAAATTAGAAACAGCCATATATCTTTTTTACAATGTGATTGTTAGAGGATATTTGTTTGTTTGTGTGTAAGATGAAATTTTATTTCATCGAGTGGGCTTTAAAAACAGTATTCTCACGAGTGGCGAAGCCACGAGTGAGAATACTGTTTTTAAAGTTCACGAGATGAAATAAAATTACATCTTACACAACAAACAGACAAATTTTCTTTTTATTTTATGCTTAAAAACAAGTTAAAACGAAATTTCCATAATTTTAACGTTAATATTAAAACTGTTTCCCCCATTGAGAGCCCCATTTATTCGGAATTTCTCATTAAAAAAAGAAGTCTTGAGCTGAAAAATTAGTCCGCCAATCAACATTAAATGACGGTGATATTTATTAATTTTATTAAAAAAATATGAATGATCGCTTGTTTTGATTATAAAAACAAACAATTCTTGTAGGAGAAAAAGTCCAACCATCCATCCATATTTCTGTTACTTAGTGCGAATTTATATTAGACCTGGCTTTGTAAATTGTAAGCGGCAGCCATTTTTTAAAGTTGTGTATTTCATGGGAGGAAAATAATTGTGTAAGATTCAGAGGGATATAATTTGGATTTGTTAGTCATACACATTTTTAAAAGAAAGAAAACTTATTTGAGGATTGTAACAGACAAAAAATAAGTGTTGACAGATGTGAAAACATTCAGAAAAGGAGCTAGGAAAATGGAAAACTTGGAAACCTGCTCAAGAACGCTGGGTTGATTTAACTTATTCTTCGAGTTATGGCTGTCAATGCTTTCAATTTTTCATATAAAGCATACGGCAGTTATTGCTCGTAGGATACTTTAATATGCCCAAATGTCATCAAGAGCAGTTTTGCATGGGGAAGGAATGTATTTTTGAGACTGTCAAAATGAAACAAAAAAACGAAATTTGGTGATTGGAATTTCATGAATTTGAATGAATAGAAGTAAGTTTTCTTCTTTTTATTACTTTTGACATTTAAGTTATTTATCAATTTCAGTTTTGCTTTTTCTTTAAACAGCCTGACATTGTCAGAATTGTCAGCAAAAATAAAATTGAGGTACAACATGGGGAAAATCTTAAAAAAGTAGTTTCGTCATTGAAAAGAGTGAAATTATATTTTGATAATTTTCACTGTGAAATTACCAAATATAATTTTCACGGATAAATCAGTAATCCACTGAAAAGCATAAAATAAAAATGTTTTTTCCTTTTAAAGAGACATTACGTCTCAGAAATGAAAACGATTTTCCTCTGAAAGAAAAGACAAACTTGTGCTTTTATTATGACGTTTTAATGATTGCCTAAGAGTATGTTATATACTTAACTTATCACATGAAGAAATGGCAGAAGCAAAACGTTGACAAAGTTATATGTTTTCTTCTGCACTAAAGAAAATGAAAAATAAGTTTACCAGCTACTAACTGTTACAGAAAACAAAACCTAAAATGTTTTTAAAAAAATAGAAATAGTATGAGAAACAAATGAGAAACTTCTTGTAAAAGGTGGCCGTTTAAAGCTATTTACTAATTATATATTCATGCAAATCAATATAGAGGTGGAAAATAATTTGTTTAAATGATTGTAAAATATAAAAAATATAGTGTAGAAATATAATATAAAGGCACTTTAAAAATGAATTTCAAAAGTTTAGTCTAGAAACAGATATCTCTTGTCTTTCATAACTTCGGCCATATCTTCGTTAAAAGGTCTGAAAAAGTCGTCTAGAATTGTTTTGGTTGACTCTAACATTGGCCATGACCTTCTCTTTTTTGTTGATACATTTTTCGTTTTTAGGTTTAAGATTCGTCGCATTGCAAGCGAGCCTACTGACGCTGAAACAAAATGATAACAAAATATTTTAATAATATATCATTACACTAGATACCGTAACGAAATGATAATTCTATCCGTGTACACCTTCCTATGATGATGGTGATGAAACGTTCCATACCAACATATGAATTCATAATTACACATTGAGTCTCAGAAATAAAAACATATTTCAACATGTGTTTTTAATTATTTTATTATAGATTTAGAGCATTGAAGATGCTTTTAGATTTAAAAAAAAAGTAGCATTGATTGTAAAACAAGAGTGTTATGAAAGAAGCAAAGAATACAAAGAATAAACAAAGTGGTATTATTACTTAGATACAAAATACTAAAAAACTACAAATGTGATCGAAATAAGCAAAGAATACGCGGGTATATGGCCAATGAGTAACGTTTTGGAAACAAGAACAATTCACCAAAAATAAAATAAAATTAAGAAAATGAAATAAAAGCATTTCAGTGCATATTAAGCATTAATTATATTTTGCTTTATTTATCAATTTATAAATATTGTTATACTAAAATGAAACTTATTTACTAATTAATATTTTTTATACTAAAATGAAACTTACATATGTCAAGAAAATCAAAAACGCTCTCTAATGTCTGTTTCATCTTCGTGACGTAATCTGACATCAATATTGGTAAAATCTGAGATGTTCCAAATACACTTAGTAAATCTTTCATAAACACAGCATAAAATCCAGCATTAAAACTTTCAGCTATATCAAGTCTTTTCTGAATATCGAAAAATAGAGAACAAAATATTCTTTAATTAATACGTGTATTTTGGTGTGTAGAGTGCTGCAAAATTGTAGAAAATATATTAATGTCTAAAACAAAAACTATTAATGAGTTTCTTAAATACATCCAGACAATAAAATATATCTATGGACAATGATTAGAGTTGCAGGACAAAATAAAAAGTGATCGTCTGATTTTGAATATATTTAAAAGTGGCTGTTGTCGTCGTCTTTTTGTAATACTGATGGAGGAATGAAATGTCTTTATAAAGAATGGGAGGACAAGATGATGAACATCATAAATATTTCACTATTATACACCATAGGTGATACAAAAGAGATAAATATTATAAATGATATTAGAGGCGAAATCAATGGGTTGACTAGCTGTTCAAAGGAGAATATGTTATATTTTGTGTTATTGCTTATTCACTATCAACCCCTTTTTGAATATACTGTCCAATAAGTCTAGATATTGTGTAAATATATTTTATTGTCGATATGTAAATTTATTATTTTAGAACATAGATATACTATATTTAGCAATTACGTTTTTTTAATTATTGTTCATATATATTCTTTATTGTCAATATTTTATCTTCAAAAATATTTTTAGAACATACAGTCAAATGTTGGAACAAAGGCCACCCAAGGATGAGATATTTCAAGTGGTCTATATTTAGCGGTTACTTTAATCCATTCATCAAGTCAATGTAGGGTTATTGAAAAGTGACCTTTACTTGCAATGCTTTCTTTAATCAGAGGTGGTCTTTTACGCAGATTATGCTGCAGATATAATTAATGAACACTTATTTTTATCTTACTATTTTCCATATTTTTTTTTATTGTCTACACACAGTATATATCTTGACCTCAGAAATATTTTAAAAACAGTGTATATTTGATAAAACTGATAATGCATGTATTATAAATAAGTCAAACCAATTAGAACTATGTGAAATATTTACTTTTACAAAATAGTTTTTGCATAAACTAAAATCGATTTAATTTGTCGTGTTTATAGAATAAAGGTAAGCATTTGTCCATTTGATTGACAGGAATACATTTGTTGATATACCTTAACTCGGATTTAAAAATGATATTTAAGATGACTTTCTGTATATATAAGTAATAGGTAAAACGATAACCTTTAGACGAATACTTACATCACGAAGTATGCTCTTTAATGTATTGTTATATACACAGCTTCTATGAGAAAAATGATTAAAGCAATTTTTATAGGCTTTGATAATCTCAATAACATCTTTATGAAAAACTGTTGCTGAGGAGTTGCCATACTTTCCTCCAGTGCTGTGTAGAAAGTCCGAGTAAAGTCTGAAATATATCACAATGTAAATGTTAACATATGTACTTATAAACATGTGCTAAAATTAAAACAGTTATAGGTCCATTCAAAATCTTAAGAAGAATCTCCTTTAGAATTATCAAGCAAAATGTTTGCAAATTGTAAAAGAAAACTTACATTACTTAGCGCGCATGTCACAATGAATCAGTAGATAAATGTAGGAGATATGTTAGTTTTACGTAGGAATGTGAAAATCACACAAGACGCAGCATTGTGCAAAGCTATGGCCGAAAGGAGCATAGTTATATGTAAGGGACCAATACATTTTAAAGTGAATCACACTGAAAGAAAATGATAAGAGCATACGATTGGTGAGACAGTGTGTTATCAACTTCATTTATATATTTACAGGCAAGTGTTTCTTATTTCATTGGTTTCGTGTAAATATTATATGACACCAAAGGTCAAGCAAATGTGTAAGATATACCGAATATAAAGTTTAAATGCGCAACTGTTCTAATCACAAAAGTCGCCTTTAAAACGGAAGTTAGTTAGGTCGTCATGTCACGAATGATCTTAAAGTTAAAATATTTCTGGAGATATTTGTAATGCTAGTGAGATTATAATAATGTCAAAGGATTCGTCTATAAGTTCATTTCTTTTCTTTTGATTTTCTATAAAGAACTTTGATAAATATACTTGCCGTGTTACTCGTGTCACAGACTCGTCGTTACTAATGGACAATTATTACGTTATTTTCCCATTCCTACATCGTGTTAACGGTGAAATATCTTTTTAATCATTAAAATGAGATAAATTATCACGGAATTTTCTAACAAAATTTTCTAGCGTTTATTACTTTTTTAAGTCGAACAACATTAAAACTTCAAAGCATTAACTGTTGTTGCATAAAAACCCTTGAACACTTTTCACAGGAAAACCGATATAACAAAGGACCTATGAGTACAAAGTATTTCTGATATATTCTCTCTTCCAGTTTGCTTTTTTCTCAACAGTATTACTTTGTAAAAGTTATTTTACCTTGATGTAGGGTTTCTAAAAAGTATGATGATTTTAGCATTTGGCGTGATATGTTTGATATAATTGAAGTTGGTGTAACGTGGTTCTGATATATTTTCGTTGCCGGGTAACATTTCCCATTTTGTTTGCATATGAAGAGTGGAAGGACTTGCCTCAACTGAAAGAAAAGAATAATTACTATTTAAAATGCATTTTAGATTATACATGTATATTATAATATCTATTCATTTGAAATAACTTAACAAATGCTGTAACAAAATGTGAAAAGCAAGTTTAAAGTTAACGTAAAAAAAAAATATTAATGTTTGTGTAGATTAAAGTTCCAGAGATCAGTCTACATTTAAGTTGATCTACAATAAAAATAAGAAAGAAAAGAACAATAGAAGTGTATGATTTAGATATTGTAATAAAATATTGCTAGGAAAATGTTTATGGCGTTCTAAGTGATTTAGTATGAACACTATATGACGAAAAATGATATTTTGTTCTAGAACATTTTATTATATGCTAGATAAATACATGTATATGCAATATCGGATTATGTATCTCACACTTGCTAACAATATAAATGTATAATTACGCCGTAGATTGATGTTATGTGTGATACAAAGTGAACGATAGTTCAAATTAAATATTATTTAGGGGAATAAAGGAAAAGTGTGAATTTCCACAATATATTTTATAATTGAAAATCAGAAACAAAGACAAAATTTATCAAAGCTTTAAATGTCATCCCACTGGTTAAATGTTAGAATGCAGTCGACATAGTAATATAGAAAGACAAAATAGACTGTGAATTATGCGAACAAAGTACAATAGAAGATGAATATCATTTTGTCATGGAATGTAGATTTTATAACACATTACCCCAAGGTATTTCCGGATTAGACCAAGTTTGGTAAAAGTTGTTGAAGTGTTGAATACTGAGTGTAAACCATTGCTATATAAAGTTTCGGTGTATATAATAAACGACAAGGATATTTAAGCGCCGCGTTGAAGAAGAACTATACATGTACATATTGCATTTATTCGGGAACAGCACTATAGTAATATTTTTGTTTATGAATTCAATAAAAAGGTGATTTATTAATTTTTGTAACACTCAATTATATTGTGTAACTTGCCAATATAACTATGTCTTTCTTGTTACAAATATATTTATGTATCGGTTGATGTAGATGTGCTGTATATGCAAAAGACTGAATAAATTTTCGTTCTGATAATAAATACTGTCAACGTTATTATTTATTATATTACAGTGCTTCCATTATAAACCAATTCACTTTAAAGCAGCACGCCTCCAGATTCATGCTAATTTTCATGAAAATTTGAAAATGTATTTACAATATAATATTGTGAAGTTACTACAACAATGCAATTTACACATTATCAAAGGCACCTTCAACCCACGTAAATTACCATAAAGAGGTCAAAATATGCAAAATTAGCCCTTACTGCGTTAGTAACGCAGTAGAAATATATAATTATAAATACTGAAAAATCGGTCAAAAATTGCACACATCATGTAAATTATTACCATTATTTTTGAATTCTTATACTTTTCCTTAAATCTTAGTACATTTTTCTCAGGTTTGATTTTATCGAAATATTTTTGCTCATCTGGAGCCGTGCAGCTTTAAGTAATCTGACAAATGTGGTCTTCATGTTTACCTGTAATCTTGTTATAATGTAAGGAATCATGTACATCTCTTGATGGACTTCGTTGTATACAACTTGCCGCACTGTCAAACAGACTTATAAAAAAATCAACTTTCCTCGGATCAATGCCTCTTTGAAAAATGGCTGTAAAAGAAATTTTGAAATAAAAAATACTTTAATACCCTTCCTGTATATAAAACACTAAGAAAACATTTCAATTGACTTGATTTATTGTCTTTTACATGAAATAAACAAAATACATAAATGAATGCTTGAGAGATTGCTTTCTCGTGAATGAATGAAAGGTGAACAGAACTGTAAGCTGAAAGATGATATTTGTTCTGTTCATCGTGACGATATAAAAAAACTCTATTTCAGAAAATAGATACCGTGTTGAACAGAATAAAGGTATTATTTTATTGCTTTAATCAGCTTGTGTTCTACAAAGATATCCGGATATCCTAATTTCATTTTCGCAAAAACAGACATCTTTTAAGTAAATGTATGGGTATTTAAAATACAACGTTTTCTTAAAAAAATGACAAAATCAAGGTTGTAACTTGCCATGAATTTTTCTAACGTTCATGGAAAAAGCTTTGATACCAAATCTGAATCTAGAAAACCACTGTGATTCCTTTGGAAACGAGGGAGTACATATCTCAGGATGACGCCTCAGTCTGGAGTACAAGTCAGATGTTCCGCTCTTCTTTACACCTAGACAAATGTGAACAATTATAAGTGAATATACAATTATAATTTATGTTGAATACCTACTATCGTCATTACAATAAATAGATTAATAAATGCTTATGAGTTTAATATATTTGTAAGTATATGGGCCTGGCTAATGTGAAAATTACATAAGATTTTCACCGAAATATTAATATAATCACTGTCGTATTTCATGACCAAATTAAAATTATTCATTTGGTTATTTTTAAAGTTGTCTGATTTCCTTTTTTTCACGCATTTAAGCTTTAAATGAGCGGAAGAAAATGGGAGCATTTGTATCCCAAAGCGCCGTGTAACACCGCACTTTGGGGTCAAACGCACTTTGGGGTCGAACCCCAAAGTGCGTTACGCACTTTGGGGTCGGACCCCATAGTGCGTTACGCACTTTGGGGTCCAATTTCGACCCCAAAGTGCGTTAAACAGGTACATATGCATTTTTCAACATCAGGCAAACGACCGCACTTTTGGGTCAGAGAAAATTTATGTTCATTATGTTTTAAATAATATAGCGTAGTCAAAGCCAATGGTAAACAAAAATCAAGGTATTAAATGGACACAAAACATGTGCCCTGAATCAATAGGGATTTAAATGGTCTTGATTAGTAAGTGAAGAACTTTCACAAAATAAATCACCAAAAAAAGAATTTGTATCAATGCAGCACGCCTCCAGATTCACGCTAATTTTCATGAAAATTTTGAAAATTTATTTGAATATATAATATTGTGGAATAACCAAAAGGAAGCAATTTGCACATTATCAATGGTACTTATAACTTACGTAAATTACCAAAATGTTGTCAAAATATGCATAAATAGCCCTTAATGCGTTAGTAACGCAGTAGGAATATAGTTGTAAATATTGAAAACTCAGTCATTGACCGCACATAACATGTAAAATATTACTTGAATCTTGAATCATTTCACATTTCCTATAATCGTAGTACATATTTCTCAAATTTGATTTTATTGAAATATTTTGACTCATCTGGAGGCATGCAGCTTTAAGCTTAAAATATGTTTTTCTAAAATTTTCCATTTATTTTAAAAGAATGTACACCTTTCATTAACTCCATTGTTTTTAGCTAAATGCATCATTTTCCCGTTTGTTATTTACACATTTTACAGAAATATGATAGTCTTTGCATAGACAAAGGTATAAATTCTGGGTAATCTTAGTAAGACATTTCAGTAAAAAAAAATTTCCTGATAATATGTTAAAATAGCCATTCATTTAGCTAAATGTGACACATTAGAAACTTGACTAGGTGAAGATGCGGCTTTAAGTAGTAGTCCGTACAGGCAGTCAAAGAATATCAACTATTTAAGTAGTCGCACATTAAGAGCGAGCTTCAGAATAATGTAAAATTCTCACAGGGGTATAGAGGGGATTGTGGGGTATCGATCTCCCCGAGGTTTAAAAATAACATTTTAAAGGCCCATTATTCTTTTATTTGTTTTTCTTCAGCTTTTTTATTTTGATGTTCTTTTATATTATCAAAAAAATACACATTGGCCAATTACCTGAACCATCCTTTTCATCTGTTGCTTTTTGACAATGATGAGTACAGTACTGTTATAGTGATAAGTAGTTTACATGTTTCATATGGAAGTCAAATACTACATTGTTTTGACCACTTTTATGACAAATAATTTCACATTTATCGCTACTTTATTCAGGTAACAAGCATCTTACATTTCTCTGATACCATTATTTTAACATTAAAAAAATCATATTTCTAAAGAAGTATGTAAGATTTCCCATTAAAAAAGCATCTGGCGAACGGTTGTTACGGAGGGGGAAAAATATTAACTGCATTTTATTTCATTCCTTACATATTTAAAATGGAGCTCAACATGGCACCAAAAGTTATCAAGTAAATGACTGACATAACGGGATATTTTTCGCAGCATCTTTAAACTTTAGGAATACACGATTTCTGTACTAAAATATTTTGAACGGTGGCAAAAAAGTGACATTTGCAACTTTTTTTTTTGTTTTTGATACTTTTTTTTTTGTTTTTGTTTTTTCGTACATATTTTTTGTTTGTTTTTAGCTCACCTGTCACAAAGTGACAGGGTGAGCTTTTGTGATCGCTTTTCGTCCGGCGTCCGTCGTCCGTCGTCCGTAAACTTTTACTTTAAATGACATCTCCTCATAAACCACAAGGCCAATTTCATCCAAACTTCACAGGAATGTTCCTTTGGTGGTCACCTTTAAAAATTGTTCAAAGAATTTAATTCCATGCAGAACTCTGGTTGCCATGGCAACCGAAAGAAAAAACTTTAAATATCTTCTTTAAAAAAACCATAAGAGCTAGAGCTTAGATATTTGGCATGAAACATCTTCTAGTGAGTGTCTACCAAGTTTGTTCAAATAAAAGCCCTGGGGTCAAAATTGGCCCCGCCCCGGGGGGTCATTGATTTTCCCTATATGCATATAGTAAAAACTTAAAAAATCTTCTTTTAAAGAACTCAAAGAGCTATGGCTAAGATATTGAGCATCAAACATGTTCTAATAGGTGTCTACCAAGTTTGTTCAAATAAAAGCCCTGGGGTCAAAATTGGCCCCGTCCCAGGGGGTCATTGATTTTCCCTATATGCATATAGTAAAAACTTTAAAAAATCTTCTTTTAAAGAACCAAAAGAGTTAGAGCTAAGATATTTAGCATTAAACATGTTCTAATAAGTGTCTACCAAGTTTGTTCAAATAAAAGCCCTTGGGTCAAAATTGACCCCGCCCCGGGGGGTCATTGATTTTCCCTATATATGCATATAGTAAAAACTTAAAAAATCTTCTTTTAAAGAACTCAAAGAGCTATGGTTAAGATATTTAGCATCAAACATGTTCTAATAGGTGTCTACCAAGTTTGTTCAAATAAAAGCCCTGGGGTCAAAATTGGCCCCGCCCCGGGGGTCATTGATTTTCCTTATATGTGTATAGCAAAAACTTAAAAAAAAATTTTTGAAAAAACCCAAATAGCTAGAGTTAAGATATTAAGCATGAAACATCTTTTAGTGAGTGTCTACAAAGTTTGTTCAAATAAAAGACCTGGGGTCAAAATTGACCCCGCCCCGGGGTCATTGATTTTCCTTATATGTGTATAGCAAAAACTTAAAATCTTCTTTGAAAAAACCCAAATAGCTAGAGTTAAGATATTAAGCATGAGACATATTCTAGTAAGTGTCTACAAAGTTTGTTCAAATAAAAACCCTGGGGTCATAACTGGCCCAGCCCCAGGGGTGTCATTGTTTTTAACTATATGTGTATAGTAAAAACTTAAAAAAAATCTTCTTTTAAATAGCCCAATGAGCTAGAGCTTAGATGTTAAGCATGAAACATCTTCTTATGGGTGTCTACCAAGTTTGTGCAAATAAAAGCCCTTTGGTTAAATTGGCCCTGCAACGTTTGGGGGGGGGGGGTTCGGGGGGGCCTATATACAGGTGAGCGACCTCAGGGCCATCATGGCCCTCTTGTTTTGTTTGTCATACATTTTTATAAAGTTTTGCATACATATTCTTTTTTTAGTTTTGCATACATATTCTCTTTAAGTTTTGCATACATATTTTATCTTAGTTTTGCATACATATTTTATTTGAGTTTTTGGTACATATTTTAATTTTGTTTTGTTTTTTACTTTTTTTCGTACATACTTTTACATGACGCCATTTGCAAAGTAGAGGTTTGGATAATTACGCCATATGTAAAACACCATTTTCAAACACTTCGCCATCCGTAAATTACAGTACCCCATTTGCAAACGCCATTTGCAAATACCAACATTTTCATTTTTGGAGGTATCAAAAGATAATAACACTTTTTAGTATATATATATACAGAGACATAGATATTATCTATGTCTCTGATATAATTATACATGTACATGTATATACATGTATATACATGTATATATATTTTTTTTTCTAAATCAGTGGAATATAAGGACCTATTTAGATCTTTTATTGTGCATTATTGTAATACACCAGTCATTTGTAACCACCTCCCTTGCCCCCGGGGGAGTGCGGGTTAAAAAAGAATTGTGTGATGTCTGCGCTGTTCCGGGGCATAAGGCAGGAATGTTATTATCTGAATATCCCCCGCAGGGCGAAGATTTTACCATTGGTCGGCTTGGTTTAAAGTCAATGCCCCTCCCCCCGCTATACTCAGGGGGTGGGGTTGAGTGGTGCATATTCATTCACCAATCAACAGCCCTTTCCAAATAGACACTAATATAATAGTAGATAATAATTTTTTAAAAATACACTAATTATATAAAATACATATGATTTAAAAAATGGGCCGAAAAAGGTCGACCGAAACCAGACTTGCGCGGCCAAAAACGACTGGGCCGATTCAAAAAAATGGGCCGAAATGTGACCAAACTACTGTACTAGTTTTATACTCAACTATGGGCTGTTATGAGATGTGAAGGCTGTTTTGATTGGCTAAAATATGTACGAAAAACCAAAATAAAAAATGTACGAAAAACTTTAATAAAATATGAATGCAAAACTTAAATAAAAATAAATGCAAATGTCAATTTTATGCCACCGTAATTTTGTTATATGAACAAATTATTATTGGATATTTTAAGTGGTAAAATTAATGAAACTTTTATCACTTAAGCATCATCAAAGTATTGACCGCCATCTTGAACTCCACCTCAAATATTTCAATGTCGAAGATCGAAAATAAGTCAGTTCTCAGTATTTAAGCAGAACTCAGATTACACCTTTAGACCTCTGGAACCCAAAGTGCGTTGATATGTAGCATATTAACGCACTTTGGGGTCAATTTCTCGATTTTGACCCCAAAGTGCGTTTGACCCCAAAGTGCGGTGCGAAGTTTAACGCACTTTGGGGTCGGACCCCAAAGTGCGTTTGACCCTAAAGTGCGGTGTTACAGCGCCGTTCATTTTGTAGTTGAAGATTGAACTTTTAGTACCCGTTATCCCATAACGCTATTAACGATTAGTTACGAATAGCAGACGGTTTAACGATGCTTTATAAACTTCATTTTAATGTCCATATCACTAAGAGTCCATTTAAAGTCACTTTTTATTGGCTGTCAATCGCAACACGGGAAAATTTTAAGCCATCAACTGGAGATAACTCGATAATTTAAACCTTTATATTTTCTATGCTGAAATGTAGAGCGTAAATACTGCATAATAATTATAAGGAAATAGTATACATTGTTCAATACTACCTAAGTAGAGTAATACTGCACATCACTATAAAACGACATATTTCTTGCCATTTTCCAATTCGAATTGAAAATAAAACTGGTTTATAAGTGCACCCAAGACATACTTTTGATTTATTTTTTATCTACGTTTATAAGAGGCGACAGGAATATTTGATGGACTTACCAATGATGTAAAAATAAGGTAAACAGTGCAATTGTCCGTCTTTAATAGGAGTTGAATCGGTTCCTTTAAAACAAGGATTTTTATATGCCGGATCAAAAGTCAATGGTTCCTGAAATTTAAGATAAATTAAGAATGAAAGTATGAAATTTGCTACGAAAGCAAAAGGTTATTCTAACATTGTTACGCCGTATAACTTTCGCCGGGAAGCTTAAGAGATATCATTCTCCGGAGCTGTACTCGATTTTAAGTGTATAAAGCTCCCAGGGATCTATATCCGTTAAGGGTAGACTAATTTATTCAATTTATTTAATTTATAGCTCTCGGGAACATTATTCGTCTACAACATGCAAACAGTTTATGGCGTAAACATATAAAAGTCTCAGTCATGAAGTAGGTGACTATCATATCTATCAACTCATGATTTATCTGTCTATGTTTATTTCAATAAATGTGATATGCGAGTATGTTGATGTTAAACAAATTGACATGTCAATTTTGCCCATTTCGAACAATCACTCTTCACTTCCGGGTCAAATAATATTGTCCACGAAACAAAGTGTTAACGCTCCTCTTCTGCATCTTAATAGGCCCATTATGCTACTGAAATGCTTTTATTTGCATTTCTCAAAAAACGTTTATTTTTTGGAGTCTTGTAATAGAAAATGTTACTCATTTACCAATATTATCTGAACCATTTTTGTCGTTGCTTTTTGGCAATTTGTACAGTTACAGTGATACAGCATTTTGCATTTTGTTACTTTAATGATAAAAAATTCACAAAAATGTACCACTTTTTTAGGTGATAAGCACCTACGATATTTTAAAAGTTATAAAACACCTCCCTTCCTAAGGAAGTAAAATACACATTTGTTTCTTGGACATAATCTACCTTTAAGGTAGGATAATTGAATTTAATCATTTTTGATATTCACTGAATAATAACTGACCTGTTTTTAATGATTTTTTAGTATTTTCTCATTTACCAGAATTTTCTATTTTTCTTTTGCAATCTGTTTAAAAAGTTACCTATTATAACCTTTAATCTAAAATTTTCTATCAATCACGCGAATAACATTCTTGGATAAGGTAGACGTTAAGAATATCGGAAAGAATTCATTATGGTACATGTATATAAATTCACAGGCATATTTTCGTTGTATTTCAAATTTAATATTCGTAATATAATTATCTATTTTGAATCAGGAAAATAATATGATGGTACCTAAGTACGAACAATTAATTCCAAACAAGACAGGGTCGTTTTAAATAATCATCATCAACTCTTTTAATCATGTAAGCTTAATGCAAACTGTATTTTATACTATACTTCAAATTATTTTGTTATATACTAACCATGTTCATTATATCATAGGCACTTTTGTTGAAAGTATTAAAAAAAGGGAACAATGAAAGTAATTGAAGATTTTGTTTTCCAAAAGATGGTCTGTTCTTAAACTTCATCCAATTGGTTACCCTGGATAAATATGTCTGTCCCCGAATGTCCGTATCTTTGTTACCATATTGGTTCTCCGTGAATGGCGAATGTTTTAATGAAGGCGTGTTTGTCAATTTAGTGGTCAAGACCGATTTTTTTTCAATTTCGGATGCATTTGTAAGTTCTGTGATCGTATCGTTTACATCTGTTTTAAAATCAAGCAACCATTCGAATATATCATTTTCCAGGCGGCTATTGTTAACGGCTTTCGGGTCATAATCCAAATTGGAAAATAACGAGACGTTGTCCGTCGAATAATTCAAGACATTATCTTTCGAAAAAAAATCACTTTTTTGTGTCATGTTTGTAACTTTTCTTTTATATGTTGGCTGAAACTCGGTATACGTGCTAATAGAATTGTTCATATTTGTGTACATCAGAAATATGCAAAATATGACCGAGATTACTATGAATATTCGTGGTGATTTTCTGATAGTTTTTCTCTCGGCTGTACATTGCCACATGTTAGTGTAGATACTGAAAATAGAGAAAAAATGTACTTAGGTTTTGTTTCAAACAACTTGATGTCTACACATTTTTACATCAGTAAAACATATGAAAGAAAAGGTTTCGAGTGAAAATACGGCATTGTATGAAAATTTTACTGTCTATACCGTTTCAATCTAATTATACGTCATAAACAATAAAAACAACAACAACAACAACCACAACAAATACTTTTATTTTTGAGTCACGTAACATAGAACGAGTGTGACTGAATACAATGTTATAAAATGTGAGTTTTTTTTTTTAATTGAAAATATCAAAATCAAGCATTAACTTATTCAACAATATGGGGACAGCTATTCTCTCACCACTAGAATGAGTACAGACACACCTACAAAGACAAAGCTTTCATCACTTAAAAGATAAATCTAAATAACATAGTTATCAACGTTGGTATGGCAACGTTTTAAACATTAAAGCAATAACATGTCCGAAACTGGCATCTAACCGTCCGACTTTAAAGACAAAACTGTATCCTGACTCCCCATGAATTTTGAAATTTGAAAACAATTATTTGGAATAACTTAATTTGATTTATAGTATAAAATTGTATTTTCACTATTGATCTGTTTATATGAAACTACTTGAAATATCGACACAAAAAACTTATATTTCTAGAGAGACGTTGACGTTTTTATAGACTCACTTATTTCACAGATAATTCTAATATTTGATATTTCCCTTTCCTCAGAAAGTATAGTACTTTGTCTGCTATATTCTTATACAACAAGATCGGAACGATATATTGGAAATAGTTTATTGTTTATATAATGAAAATTCTGTAAGCCTAAGGAGATAAAATCTTTAGAAATTTATAATATTTATTGAAGATTTTCTTTAAAATTAATACATTCTCTTTCTCTTATTTGTTATTAAACTTCAGAGCAAAATATAAGAATAGTTGCTATAGAAACCTCATGATAAAATCACATTACTAGAATCACTCTCGAAAAGAAATCACTAAGTTGTCTTTGATTCATTCATTTATTCTCACTTATATTTATTCATACAGTAAATCACTTTCATACAATAAATCATTATTCTTATAGTAAATCATTATTCAAACAATAGGCCATTTTTAAAAAAATAAGTCATTATTCATACAGTAAGCCTTTATTCATACAGTAAGTCATTATTTATACTGTTAGTCATTATTCATACAGTAAATCATTATTAAAACAATAAGTCATTATTCATACAGTTAGTCATTATGCATACAGTAAATCATTAATCATACAGTAAGCCTTTATTCATACGGTTAGTCATTATAAATACAGTTAGTCATTATTTATACAATAAGTCATTATTCATACAGTAAGTCATTTTTCATACAGTAAGCCTTTATTCATGCAAAAATTAATTATTCATATAGTAAGTCATTATTCACACTGTAAGTCATTATTCATATTCAGTAAGCCTTTATTCATACAGAAAGTCATCATTCATTCACTAAGTCATTAGAAATAATTGTGTGAAGTAACTAATGAACCATTTTAATTTCTCCAAACAACATCATAATGTTTTACCTTTAGCTTTATCCACTGAATAATTTAAATCATATAACAGTTGTTTATGTTATCCAAAGTCATCAAAGATCATCGTTAACACACTAGAAGATATTTAACCAAGTGAACATGGATTATATTACTAGTTGACATTGTGAACGGGAATCTAATTGAATCAATCGACCATAAAGTCGATATCTAACATAATGTACTATCAAATATTTATACTGTTCCAGAAGGCAACAGGAAATTGGCCGATACAATTGAACGATTCCTTACACAAATCTAATCCTACTTTTATAAACATTTAGATATATATTAAGTTTCTATTTGTGTTTTACACAAGTGAAATTTATTTCACCTCATCGATATAACCTGGAACGTAGTAGTGAGTGTCCCAAATATTATCAGGAGTTAAATCTAAAAAAAACTTTGTGTTCGATTTGTACTTTGTACCCGCAAATCTTGATAAAAGAACGAAAGGCCCTTTTTGTTAAATTTGAAAATATCTTTGTTTTGTAAATAATATATACAAGCATTGTGACAATCGTGGAACTTCCGGGCTGCTTACAGGCGATGAAACTTGGGTTTTTATTTTGAGCTTAAGAAACGTGTCAATAATAATTAGTGGTTACGAAAAGACAAAGTTAGATCAGTTATTGACAAACGAATGAAAAGCGCGAAAAAAAGTTTTGTATGCCATATTTGTCAATTATAACGGACCTATTGTTCAAAGTCTAGTTCCAAATAGACGAAAAATTACTGGTAAGTTTTATAAAAACAAACATTGTGCTTTTAAGGTAATAAAAAAAAATGTTTAACCAAAAATGAAGACCTGCCACCGGACTTAGAGGCATTTTCCTAATTCATGACATTACAGCTGCGCACAAGTTCAGAAGTTCCGAAAAAGTAAAACGTGATGCAACTTCCACATCCCCCTTATTCACCGGACCATGGGCCCGACAAAATGGAACAACATTTTACCTCACTATAGTCCATCACATAATTATGTTTGAAACAGCCATCATGTTTGTTCTTAACGTTTTTGTTGAAGATATTTTACTTTGAGTTAGAAAGAAAATATAGTTTTAATGTTTAAAAATGAGCAATGCAACATACACTTATTTTAACTGAAACATGCAAAAACTAGAGTATGCATTGTAACATCATTTATCGCTATTTAAATGATGACAAACTGTTTCAAAATGACTAGCCTATGATCTACGTCTTAGATATTAAACCCGATTTTGGTTAAATATATGTGTTGTTGTGTCCGTCAAACAGCAGAAAATACCTAATTGTTACAGATTATGACAATTTTTAATACAGCAAGTTTCATTGTTCTCCTTCTTGTTACAAAGTGTAAAGAGCCGTGAACTAAGAGGAGCACAATGTAATTTTTATCGAATACTTAGAAAAAAAACGTATTATGTATGTTCACCAGTTTTGCTTCAGCCCTGAATCTTTTTTAAAGGTATTTCTTGTTTCTTATTTGCTTTATTGAAGAAAACTTTATCTGTACGTCAACTGACTCTCAAAGTGCGTTAGTTAGTGTTATTGTCCATCAAGTATCTACAGGGAGTGCCCGAACAAGCGTACATTTTTGCCTTCACAGAGCGGATTTCATGGCTAGAAATATGTATTTCTGTTCGGGGTGATGACTTCGATGGGTTAAAGTAAACCTCATTACGCTATTTGAAAAAATTACTATGAGAAATCTAAATGAACGCTCGCAAAATAAATCGGGTTATTTTCCGTTTTATATTACTCTGCAATTTGATAACAAATCATAAAAATACCATAAGCACAAAAGCTATCACAATAACTGTCTCATATTGTACAGATTATGATGAAATAAGAGATATTTTCACAATCATCACAAACATGTTACGTGAGAATAACACAAATACGATACTTTATGAACTTTGTAAAACTAGCAGAATCTAATCAGTCATTATAAAACATAATCCATTCTTTGTAATGATGTAAAGTTCTTATCTGAAAATTAATACGCGCTTCTTATATTAAAAAATACCAGGATTCACTGATAGATTTAACTTTCGTTTGAAAATATACACAATATATCAAATTTACATGATATTAGAAATTTGGCTACTTTCACATACCATGCCTTCCACATTAGACAATAGTTACAAATAGTTCTCGTGTAAATGTGCATAAATGTTCTATACGTGTATTCTACGTGTAAATGATCTAGATGTAGTATTGATACATTGTATTTTTTCACGTTAATTGTACGTATAAACGAACTCGTGGAAATGTACATCAATGTTTAATAAATATTTCTATATGAGCCGCGCCGTGACAAAACCAACATAATGCGTTTGCGACCAGCATGGATCCAGACCAGCCTGCGCATCCGCGCAGTCTGATCAGGATCCATGCTGTTCGCTTACAAACCCTATTAAAAGTAGAGAAACTGATAGCGAACAGCATGAATCCTGATCAGACTGCGCGGATGCGATGGCTGGTCTGGATCCATGCTGATCGCAAACGCACTATGTTGATTTTATCATGGCGCGGCTCAATTATGTGTATTATACGTATAATTTGGTCGCAAGTAAATGTATATATTTTATTATTGATACATTGTATATCTTTATGTGTATTATTCAGCTTTATGGATAATCTATAATAGATGCTGACATTGTCTCTGCTGAGACTTGCAAGTATTAATAATACAATCATTATTCAATGTTCCTACAATGTATATGTATTAATTATTGGAATTTAGAATCTCTAAAATAATTATAGTGTTAATTGAACTGTAAATGAATAATAACCTTTAAAGATATATAATGCTCAAATTGTATGTAAGAATATATTGATAATGTCTACACAATCTAAATAAACACAATTTGACTTCACACAAAGAAGAAATATGTTATTTTTTTCAACACTACACATTATAGGTGCTCACAATATAAATATATAGCGTTATTTTAAAAAATGGCAGTTTTTTTAAGAAAGTACCCATCTTCCCATTACATGGTTTATTCATTCTTTTCTTCAAATTAGACATGTTCAGTAAGAATTTCATAGATTTCAATAAATTTCCGTGATTAAAATATTTCACTGAAGAATGATAGCATATCTTTAAAGAAAATCAATACTTAAAGTTATGTCATTTTGTCATGTAATTAGTTATTAATGAACTTATGCAGACCTGTAATTGTATACATATTATGAAAGTTTCTATATGACTCTTTCGAGAGTTAATTTGCAAATACATAATTCTTCATTTCATATTTCAATTAAGAAAATATAAGAAGTAAATATACATGTTAACACGATAATTATTCAATCAAAACAGTGTTGTTTGTATTTATCGGCCTTGCCCTATTCAAGCAATAATCTAGTATTTTCCAATATATGTCACTCTTAAACGAATCTTTATTACATGTTTTTCTATTTTCCATTGATGAAATTAAATGCATATTTTCA